TATATATATATATATATATATATATATATATATATATATGTATACCCCATATATCTATCTATATATATATAAATTATTGAGCATGCATCGAGATATATACATATTTACTTATTTACTTACATACTTACAGTCCAGAGTGAGAATTAGAATGTAGCTACAGGCTACAAGAGCCAAAAGCTCTTCCTACTGCACTGGAAGGAGTTATGGGGAATGAACCGATCTCCTGGTTCAAGACTAGGGTTAGCTCTCCATCCTCAGCAATAGACTGGAACCTGGCCTGTGTGAAACAGACCTAATCATGTATAACCCTGGGTTTTATCAATATCAAAAACCTTCATAAATATAAGCAATACATGTTTTATCATCATTACTATAGTAATATAAGTTCATAATATAAATAGAATCAAGCTCATTATTTGAGTACTCTTAAATATTTCTAATATAATATTGCATCTTAGCACACAATATAGCATTCACCATCTCATTGTACCGTCAATTTAAATACTTCAATATTAACACTAGGAGCTAGTTACTTATTGCAAGAGGCTTATTTTTCATTATCCAGATCAAAACAAATGCAGGTGTTCAGAAATACTAGAACAATACCATCAGTGATATTTAACATAGAAAAGTATTAATGTTTGATGGTTATTTTTTTCTATAAACACATTCAAATAAATGTATATTAGCTAACCTGGACGCTAGTGCTAGCATGCTAGCTCCAGAAACAAACAAACAAACTCACCAGTTCCCGCTTTTAGAATACACAGTCAGCTGTTTTTCCACAAACAGACATCTAAAAGTTGAGAGGTATCAGTCAGAAATGGCAACATAGGCATTAGACAAAGGGCTTTCAGTGGCTCCCTGCAGCAGCTGGCCTCACACAGCCTGGATGTGAGCGTCACGGCACGATCGGTTCCAGAAGCACGATCCGCACGGTGCATTCAGCTCTGGGCGCAGGAGAAGAGCGCCCAGAATGATCCTATTCTTTTGTATTGAAGAGGAGTTACTGCGCATGTACAACTTTTAACGAGACTATGGACAAAAGTTTTTACACCCCAGGGCAGAAATATGTCATCGCCAATCATACAATGTCGATAAACAAAACAACTTTACTCATCATTAACTATAAAATAGTTTTCTTACACAACAAAAAATAATATCCATATATTTATAAATACAGTATTTGTATTTTATTATTTCATTTTTATACGTCTTATTCAAGATAATGTAGTGAGCAGTGAGGTGGTGCCCGCTATCGGTCAGCTGCCATGGTCATGCTCAGTCATCCAGGTAAAGAATCCAACACTGTCAGGTCACCTGGACAGTTTCTTTTTTGTTTCACCCTCCATCCAAAGGGCTTCATCAGTCTGAGGAGTCACAAACCAAACTGTTTTCAGATTGGGAGGAGTCGACAGGGGAGAGGACAGCCCCCAGAAACCATCTTGTCACCAGCAAACTGGTTGGTCCACTGTAGGAGTGTACTGCTTAGTGAAAACAGTTTGTGACTCCTGACACTGATGAAGCCCTTCGGATGGAGGGTGAAACGTCTCTCAACAAAAAGAAAGAAAGAAACTGTCCAGATGACCTGACTGAACTTTGTTGAACGTGAAAAATGTCAAAGAAAGTTAAAGTGATGGTTCCACTGGGGCTCGAACCCAGGACCTTCTGCGTGTAAAGCAGACGTGATAACCGCTACACTATGGAACCAGTGGGTCTGACTGGGACCGGTAGTGGTTTTATCCAAATCAATGCCCGGGGTGAGTAAAGTTATGTTGTTCGCGGAACATGCACGGATAACTGGTAGAAACTATAAAAAGTGTCTCTGGGGTTTTATTTGTTCCGGTGCAGGTAACTATTTGGATAGATGTGGTGTGATGGGCGGAGCTTAAATAAAATAAACTCACCTGTACCTGCACCTGAACAACAGCCCAGAGAGCAGAGGAGGTGCTGCCCCGCAGGTATGCTCACCTGTCTGATTGTACACTTTATTTTTCATGGTTTATTTTACAATACTGAGAGTCTGGATGGACAGAATGAGTTATGTTTAATTTATTGTGAATTTATTGTGTATAAACACCTGGTGGTGCACGGTAATAACGTGACGCTGCAGAAACAGGTAAATGTTGCATTTATTTTCAAAGTTTGTGTATTTACTGTAAAAACTGCTGCTTCATCATAAACCAATCTGTAATATTTTTCCCAAAGCTTTGAATCCATTAGACTTTGGGAAAGTTTTCAATAATTATAGAGACATTTGTACACGTGTCTTTATTGCGGAAGAGTTTGCTGACTGTTAAATGCGCGTGCATCTTCAGGGGCAGTTTACACGCGCGTTTTCTGAGTGCATCCGCATCTTTCTGTCTGCGGTTCTGCTGATCATCTACACGACACCAGTGGCCCCTCTTTGAATCCAGATGTTTCTGAACCCACCTTCCACAGTGGAGGTTTTTCTCTGACCCCCTGCTGATGATGTAACATCTCCTGCTGAGGCTTTGTGTTAAACCACATGCGCACGCGCACGCGCGGACAGACGCTATATTTCTATCAACATGGCAGCGACACACTGCTTTCAGAACCTCGACTGATGGAATATATTTATAATCTCGTAGTTAATCCACGTCAGATTCCAGCTGCTGTGACCAACATCTGTGTTGGAAGAGACACAGTCTGGTCCAGTTCTGATGTCGCGGTTTATAGAACGAGGCACGCGCACACGTCGCGCTGCACTAGAACATAAATGTGCTAAATAATAAGTTTAATAATAATAAACAGTATTTATCAGTAGTTTGAGAGATATAATGAAGCTCTGAGCTAAATGAAGCTATCGGGACATTACGTAATTCAAATTATGTGATTAAAATGATGCTAAACATGTTGCGTGTTACTAAAGTTGAAAATGAAGACATTCAATCAACCTTTATTTCTACAGGTAAATCCCATTGAGCCTCAGGACTCATTTACAAGAGAGACCTGATTTAACAAAGAAAGATGACAACAATGGACAACAGCAACAACAATAAACAGTTATAAAAAGTCATACTACAGTTTTTTTGTTTGTTTGTTTTTACAAATATGATGGCTTTAAGAAAAAGGTAACAAAACAAAAAAAAAAAACAGGTATATTCTAAGGCGAATGTATAAAACTCCGGATCCGTGTCAACACAAAATCCGACTGTGTCAACGCGGATCTTTTCCTCTAATTAACGTACGAAAAAACCTACGTTTCCCCCCATGGTGTCCGTGTACACAGGGCCTCATGGTCGCTCTGCAGAGGCTGCAGCAACTGTGGATCATTTCCAAGTCAAATGTGAGGAACAAAGAGGTGTTCAGAACCAGCTGGAGCTCTGGAGGAAACGAGCGTTACAGCTGAGGCTGGCTTTCCCCTCACTTCTTTGTTTTAGTTAAAGATTAAAAAACTGGACAGACTCCAGTTTGTTTGCTGTCCAAGGAAACAAACTCCATATTTTGTTTAACCAAAGCAGAACTTTACAGAAGAACATTTCCTGCTTCTTTATAAAAGTTCTGGTTCTTAACAAAGGAGTCACTCAAACAGAAAACAGACCAGACACAAAACGGCCTGACTGGGGATGGGCCTGGTAACCATGACAACTCGCTAAAGGCAGGCCTGGTAACCATGACAACTCGCTAACAACGGGCCTGGTAACCACGGCAACTCGCTAACGACGGGCCTGGCAACCATGACAACTCGCGACCGGGCCTGGTAACCATGACAACTCGCTAGGCGGGCCTGGTAACCATGACAACTCGCTAACAACGGGCCTGGTAACCACGGCAACTCGCTAAAGACGGGCCTGGTAACCATGACAACTCGCCGTCTGTCATCTGCATATAAAGTAATATTTTTATTTCTACTTTAAAGAGATGTCGCGACCCTTCTTTCTGTTTGTGAGCCCGAACTGACCGTAGATCTGCTGGTTTCACAAACGCGAGACGTTTTCTGATCAAATCTCTGAAACTGATCCGGACGTTGTCCTTTTTCCAGCTTGGTCCTCATCGTGTCCGGCATGACGACTTCCTGTCAGGAGTTTGACGTGACCGTCTACACCTCACCTGGGGCCACCTGTGGAACCTACAACCACCTGTGGCTCAGCCTGATTGGCTCGCAGAGCCAGACTCCGCCCATCAGCGTGAACGCGGATCAACATCTCCTGCCTGGATCAGTGAGTTTCCTTCATGAAGATGGGACAGATATTGTTTGTGCGTCACCACACTGGTCTGTGCCTCTTTTCCTCTCAGACATGTCTGGTTTCGGTCCGGTCCAATGGCCTGCTGGGTCAGCTGATCCTGGTCCGGCTCCGACTGGAAGCTCAGACTGGACTCCCTGATGTGGACTGGCACTGCAGCAGGGTGGAGGTGGGCCAGCGGGCCGCAGGTTCCGGAGCTCAGGTGTTCCTGTGCGACAGGTGGCTGCGGCCCGCAGATGGTGACGTGGATCTGCGCAGCGGAGCGCGTGAGTTAATGATCTTTTCCATCGTCCAGCCATAAAACAAGAAAAGTAGAAGACAACGCAGAAGGAACATACATTATTTCCTAACCAGAGAAAGGACGTTTTGCCGAAGAAGCCGAAAGGCATTCAAAGGCAAAAAGACGCAAAACAAGAGCTAAAAGGAGCAGAACACTAGCTGAAATCTTAAAAGGCTAGCTAAAAGCTAAAAGCTAAAAGACAGCATAAGATCAAAGAGATTAAAGAGAAAAAACTGGGATTGAGTAAATCCTGAAATTTCAACAAATATTTCAGTATGTCACATCCAGGAAGTGGTGCACGTTCGTGCACGCAGCAGTCATTCTGATGATTGATAATGTGTCAGTCAGCTGATCAGGGAAGAGCTCCGTGCCTTTATGGTGAAAACATCAGACCTTTATTTTGAAAAGTTTCAGAATCAAACGTGACAGCAGCCGAACATTTAATTAAATCATTACGTTGTAAAAACATGAAGACAAGAAATGCTGAATCAGCGTCACTCTGTAAACAACAACAACCTTCAGTGGGTAAACACTGTGCATATATTTAAATCCAAACTTTAAGATGTGATGACATCACTGCGCCGAGGTTCTTCACCTTCTGGCTTTTCTTCTTCAGCGTGTTTGATGGCCGACGAAACTGAAGAGAAGCTGAAGCAGCACCGAGTCCAACAGCTGAAACGTCAGCAGCAGCTCTTCAGGTAAACTCACCTGAGAGTGCTCTGTGTCCTCCTGACCACAGGTTCATTCAAAACCACAGCTAAAACCAGCTGAACAAATTCACTCAGACCAACAGCTAAAACCAGCTGAACAAATTCACTCAGACCAACAGCTAAAACCAGCTGAACAAATTCACTCAGACCAACAGCTAAAACCAGCTGAACAAATTCAAACACTCAGAACCACAGCTAAAACCAGCTGAACAAACTTAGTCAGAACCACAGCTACAACCAGTTGAACAAACTTAGGCAGAACCACAGCTAAAACCAGCTGAACAAAAGGCTAAACGTAAAAAAAGACAAACAGCAGCTGAAAATTCTTCAGAAAGGTCCAAATAAAACCGACACAAAGTTCAGAAACGCAGATTTCAAGCTGCGCTGGACTCTGTTCCGGGTTTTTGTTTCAGGTGGCATCAGTTCGTGGGCGGAGCTCCGCAGTGCGCCAGCCTCAGCAGCATGTCCGAGCTCGGGCCGAACCTCAGCTACACCCACAGGAGGTGAACTGGATCTGGTTTCAGGACAGAGACAGGTTTGTGACGGACTCTGACGGTGTCTGTGTCCTGGTCCGCAGTCAGCCCACCAACGTGCACTATCTGAAAGGCTTCAACAACCGACCAGAACCCTGGACCGGACTCTCAGAGCTGGAGACGGTTTTCGCTCACACGGGAGACCACAACAGCGTGGCCAGTAAGAAATCCATCAGAACCCACAGCCCCTTGTGGTTCTGTGTTCTGGTCGGGGTTCTGTTCATCGTCTTTTTCTCTCAGGGGTCGTGAAGGCTCACTGGAAGGAGGACTGGTTCTTTGGGTATCAGTGTCTGAATGGCTGCAACCCTCTGCAGGTCCGTCAGGTCCGTCGTCTTCCTCCAAACCTGGCTGTGACCTCCGACAGGCTCCGCCCCTTCCTGCCAAAACACTCCAGCCTTGAAGAGGAGCTACAGGTAAGCGGGCAGCTGTTGGACCTGCAGAACTTCGACCTTTTGTCACCTTGATGTTTCCTGATGTGACAGAAAGGAACCGTGTACCTGTTGGACTATGAGGTTTTGGATGGACTACCAGGGAACCAGATCAACGGGAAGCAGACATACCTGTCGGCCCCTCTGTGCCTCCTCCACCTGAACCAGCAGGACCAGCTGGTCCCCATTGCCATCCAGGTGAGCTCCGACACAGCTGGACACAGCTGCCTCCACACAGACTTTAATTAGTTTGGTCTTTCAGCTTCAGCAGACCCCTGGCCCTCAGAATCCCGTCTTCATGCCCTCGGACCCCGGTTCTGACTGGCTGCTGGCCAAGATCTGGGTCCACTGCATGGACTTCCAGTGCCACCAGCTGGTCTCTCATTACATGAGGACCCACATGATGGCAGAACTGTGCTGTGTGGCCACGCTGAGACAACTGCCGGACCAGCACCCGCTGCACCAGGTGAACACCAGCAGAACATCCGGACCCAGTCAGAACACATCCAGGACAGAACCAGGACAGAACCAGAACAAAACCAGGACAGGACCAGAACATAACCAGAACCAGGACAGAATCAGAACAGAACCAGGACAGAACCAGGACAGAATCAGAACAGAACCAGGACTGAACCAGAACAGAACCAGTGTTCGTATGAACAGCTCATTGTTCGTTTCTCTTCTCTGGGTGGTGTTTTGGGCTCAGCTGCTGATGCCTCACGTCAGAACCTCTCTGCAGATAAACCTTCAGGCTCGAGCCTCGTTGTTGGCTCCTAACGGCATCTTCGACCAGGTAAAACCTCACCTGGAGCTACAAACAGAAATGGTTTCAATCTCTACATTTACACAGCAGGTTCTCTGGTTCTGGTTCTCTTGTAGGTTGTGGGTTCTGGTCTGAACATCATCCCGTCTCTCCTGTCCCGAGCGTCAGCTCGGGTCCGCTATCGGTCCCTGTGTGTTCCTGACGACGTATCGGACCGCGGCGTCGACAACCTGCCTCACAGCTACTACGCTCAGGACGCACTGAGAATCTGGGACGCACTGCACAGGTAAACAAACACTGCACAGGTAAACAAACACTGCACA